AGGGAGACCCCGGGGCCACAGGAAGGGAGACCCCAGGGCCACAGGAAAGGAGAGCCGGGGGCCACAGAGGGGAGACCCAGGTCTTTGAGAAGAAGGTGGCTCCGGGGCAGGAAGGGACAATAATGTCACCTGCTGTTAGACTTACAGCACTGGATGTGATCCAGGCAGAGGAAGCCGCTGGGCCAAGGGCTGAGAAGTGGCTGCTTGCATCTGTTGTCCCCTATGGACGGGGCAAGGCCTCAGGAAGCCACTGGCCATGAAGCTGGAGGGCAGAGCCAGGGTCAGGGTGAGGGTCTTGAATGCTGAACTCTCATTCTGCACTTGGCTCCAGAGACAGTGGGGGCCACCAAAGGCTCTAGAGCAGAAGAGAAGCGTCTGGTCAGACAAGGGACCAAGGCCCACTCAGACAGAGGCGGCCACAGCACAGGAGGGATCTGGACACCGCCTGGACATCTTCGGGGCCCACGTATGCTCTGGGCTTTGTTCTCTGCTCTGACAACCCCTCCCCCCAACGCCCGACTCTTCTCCAGACTCTCTGAGCAGACGCTGCTGGTGGAGAAGCTCACAGAACAAAACTCGAAGAAGGAGAGAACCATCTCTTCCCTCAAAATGGATGTCCAGAAACTGGTGCGTGGGGCTGAGAAGAGGCAGGTGCAGGGCGGGGGTCCATCTGCCGGCCCCGCTGAGGAGTCTGCCCCGGCCGCAGGAGTCCCGGCGCAGCGGAGGCCAGCGGGCAGCGGACACTCTGGAGGACCAAGTTGAAGCCCTACAGCGTGTCTTGAAGAGCATCACAGAGGTGCTGGCCCATCTTGGTCCTTCCTGCGGTAAAGCAGAGCATGAACCGTAGGATCCCGATGGTCCCAGCTGAGCCCTGACGTCGTGATCTGGAAGGTCCCCATGTGGCCACAGCCCTGAGCTCTCTCCCCTCCGTCCCTTCCTCTCTGAACCCTGAAGGTGGCCCAGGAAGACGCAGGGTGCCTGGAGCGGGCGTGCAGCAGCGGTCCCGAAGCTCAGGAGGCACAGGGCCAAGTGCGGAGGCCCGGGAGCTCTGCGTCCCCCCACCGCGGGGTGTCCCCACCGCGGGCCCGCGCCCTGGACGCCCTGCACCCCGCACTGCAGGCTGTGCACGCGGCTATCGAGAGGTGGCGGCTGCTGGAGCAGGTGGGCGGCCTCAGTCCACAGGGGCCCCGGAGGCGAAGCAGTGGCCTGGTCTCCACCAGGCGCGGCTTTGAAACCCAGGCCGGAAGTGCCATTACAGAGCCTGCTGGTGGCTCGCCCTGGGGCCACAGGAAGGGGGACCCGGGTGCCCCAGACGGGAGCCAGGGGTCTTTGAGAGGAAGGGTCTCCGCGTGGCCTGCCCCCAAGCCCTACAGTCCCAGGGAGGGGGTCCCCATCTTAAGTGTATCTTTTCTGGGGGAGTCTGTGGTCAAGGCCTACGCAGGCCGGAGTGACTCATGCCGCACCCGCTCCTCGGGGCAGGAGCTGCGCCTGCAGCTGGGGTCCTCCCAGGCGGCGGCAGCCAGGCTCCGGGAGCAGCTGTCGGAGGCCCAGCGGGAGCTGCAGGCCGCAAGGAGGCTCCTACAGGAGCAGGCGCAGGAGCAGGTGCGGGAGTCCGAGGACCTCCTGCGCGAGCTGGAGGCGCAGAGCCGCGAGGCACAGCGCTGCAGGGCGTCCAGCGAGGTCTTGCAAAGGTGACCGGAGGGCTGAGCCCTTGTGCGGGGACAAGGCCAGGCCAAGGGAGGTGGCCTTGCCAGGAGCAGTTTCTGTCCTGGGGATGGGACCCTCTTTGTGGCCTGAGGGCAGGCCTTATGGGGGAAGGGACCTCCCCGGGGAGGCCCCTTCTCTGCTCGGCCTGACTGCCCTCAGTGCTGAGACAGGAGGTCTGAGGAAAACAGAGCCCCAGCCCTCCTCCAGAGGCGCCCAGGGAAAGACCAGCAGAGGAGCTGGCCTGGTGGGGGCATGGCACCACAGGGGGCTGTGGAGGGCTCCCTGGAGGGTGGACGCCTTCCCAGGGGCAGATGGGAGCAGAGGTGGGAGGGCAAAACCGCGAGAGCAGGGTGAGGTTGATGTGGGCCATCACTCGGAGGAGCAGAGGGCCGTGGGGCCCTGGGGGCGTTTAGCAGGGGCACGGCCTTCTAAACCCATGGCTTGGAAGGGCTGGTCTGGCTGCTGGCGGCCAAGCTGCAGCATCCGGGGACAGGTGGGCAGGCCAGGGTGGGGCCCCCTGTGTAGGGAGGAGGAGGGGCCAGATCCAAGGGGCACTCGGGAAATGGAAGCTTCAGGGGCGAGGGCCCGAGGGGGAGCAGCTAAGATTCAGATTCCCGGATGATGGGTGGCAGCGGAGAGGGCTCAGGGATGGGTCAGCCAGCGAGCACAGCTTTGCACAGGTGCTAGATCTCAAGGGCCTGGGGCCCCCATCAGGGCGAGGTGAACAGGACAAGCCGATGTGGAGTTTGGGGAGATACCAGGCAGAGGAGGGGACCCTTCCTTCCAGCTGAGTTCTGCAAGGACTAGCTGAGCTTGGACCGTGGTGGCTGAGGGCTGAGCACGGGACGTACCAGGCAGCAAGACCCCTGGTTGCTTTCAGGCCCGCACAACCTCCAGGAGGGGACAGGCCCACCCGGGGCCACCCCAGTATGGAAGGCTGGCTGGGGCTGGGGACGCTTGGGTCTCTCTTGCTCCCCACCTCGCTTCCCCAGGCTGCTGCCCTGAGCGGCCCCCCGGGGTCAGGTGCCCACCTTGCCCTGTCCGTGCTCCTGGCACCCGGCCAAGGCTTGACTATGCCCAGTGAGGGTCCCTCGGCTCCCCTTCCCTGGACCCATGTCCTGGGGCTGCCCCAACCTCTGCCTCCCCTGCTCCCAGAGAGAAAAGGGCTCTGGAAACGGCGGTGGAGGAGATGAGAGGGAAGGCGGCCTGTGCAGACGCAGAGAAGCAGAGGCTAGAAGCCGAGAACACGGAGCTGCACAGGAGCCTCCTGCTGTGGGCGGAACAGAAGGAAGAGCTGGTGCAGCAGGGCGAGCGGGGCCGCAGGGAGCTGGAGACCAGGTGGGCGGGGCCGCGGGGAGCCGGAGACCAGGTGGGCGGGGCCGCGGGGAGC